GGTAGGTAAGTACCCTCCATCGCCTGAGGATAAGCAAGAAGTCGGTAGTTGCGGTTGTGCAAAATCAGACCGACAAAAGCTAGCGGGGGAAGTACAGACCACCCCGGATGATGGACTAGCATATATACTGAAGTCGCTAAGGCCCCGTGTTTTTGTGCTGGTTAAGACGTTGTCAGCGAAGTATGCGTCGTCTCAGCCCGGTTGACCCCCACTCACTGCGCTGCCTCGGCGCCGCTGGCCACTCGCCCCATCACACGCCTCGCCGTGCTGTGTGCGGGCCCGGCGCTGACGCCGACGCGGTCCGCGTCTGGCGGCAGGCTGGGCGGCGCGGCCGGCAGCCGGCGCCGTGGCCGAGGGCGTGCTCTGCGCCTACCACGCCCAGTCGGCCGGCCCCACCTACTACGACCAGTACGAGCAGGACGGCGCGCCGCTCGGCAAGATCGTCGACGACGGCGCGCACATGCGCTGCTTCTCGGACGCCAGCTACTGCTTCTCGTTGTGGCACGACGTGGCGGGCGGCGACAACACGAGCCAGCGTGCCTTCATCGTGCAGGGTCAGTCAGCGCTCGGCAGGTCACCGTTGCCGTCACAGGCTCGTGAGCGACGAGCTGAAATAGGACCCCACAGGGAGCGTTTCTCTCCTCTACTCGACACAACATGTGTTTTGCGTGAATGCTACTTCATAACCGTTCGAGCTGTTATCCCCTGTGCCAGCTGTCACCAAGCACACATTTGTATCACAAATGGTGCCACTGACTGGTCGGTCGTATGGAGCTGCACTGGCATTGCGAGAGCATCGGCAGCGGTGCGCGAACATGACAGGCGGACGGCTGCTCACACGGAGCCGTCTGACCATGCGGCGCCGTGCTGGCCTCTGCCCGGCAGGCTGCATAAACATCGCGCAGCCGCATGCGCTGTGCGACCAGCCCAGCTGCACGGCGCACGGCGAGAGCTCACGCGGCAACAACACCCGCTTCTGCTGCTGCCACGGCAACCTGTGCAACGTCCAGGTCACCTACGTGCCGCTGCCGGCGGTGGCGGCTACGCCCGACGCGAGCGCCGCGCCACGTACGTCACGTCTGCCGGCTCGGGGCTCTCAGCGGCTGTCACTCGGCACTCCCTCAGAGCACGCCCGGCAGGGGGACACAGAGGTCTCTCACGTCTGCCGGCCCGGGGCTCTCAGCGGCTGTCACTCGGCACTCCCTCAGAGCACGCCCGACAGGGGAACACAGGGACCTCTCACGTCTGCCGGCTCGGGGCTCTCAGCGGCTGTCACTCGGCACTCCCTTAGGTCACACCCGACAGAGGGACCCGAGACCTGGAGGCGGACCATACTGCTGCGTTGTGGGCCATGTGGTTACTCAAATCTCCCTCTCATCTGTGACTGATACTCGTTCCATCGCTCTGCCACTCGAGCATGTGTTCCCATAACGTCTGGTTTTTGCCGCATCGTAAGTCCCACACCACCTCGCTGTTCTATGAGTTGTATCCCTCCCACTGCCCCTACATCAGCACCTGTGTCATTCATCGCTCTATTTTTTTAAGGGGGACCTGTGGTCATACCACCTTCCCCCTTTTGTGCACCTAGTCTGCTTTCCCCCTTTGTTCTACTTGAAGCCATGCATCCTGGAATTCGGGGCCAAACCAGTTCACTTCGTTTTAGACTCTTGGGCCGCACCACCGCCTCCTATACTGTCACCCTCAGTTCTAACACCTATCTCTTTAGACGTCTACGGTCTTATCTCCCTATGCTGTTCTGGGATCGTTTCGGACCGATGCCCGTACCTGAACCACGCCCTACTCGTAATGCTGGGTCGATATGTCCGCTCCATTCCATTAGTATCCAGTCTGTGACGTGGTGAACCCCGTCCGATGACGCCCGCTGTATGTCGCCAGCGCTGGACACGCCCAGCACAGTGGCGGTGGTGTGCGGCTCCCTGGTGTGCGTGCTGCTGGTGCTGGGCGCCGTGCTGTGGCGCTGCCGCGGCTGGTACCGCCGCTCGCCGCACCCGCCGCCGGCCGCCGCCGAGCCCGCCCCCTTCACGCCCACCGTGGACCTGGCCGAGCTGCAGCTGGTCGACGTGATCGGTGAGGGGGCGCCACAGGCGGCGGACCGCGGCCGCCGCTGCCGCTGCCCAGCGGGCTCCGGCATTGGCCTTGTGGGATTCTCCGTGCGCTTGAGAGGTGTTTGCATACATCAACTTTCCCTGAGCTTTCCCGGGTGTGCAAGTTTTGCGAGTCAGCCAGTTCTGTGCAACCGTCCAGATTATACATCACGTCGCATTTCGTTGTCTTATAAATGCACTCGTAAATCATGTTGGATTTCTGTTGAAATATCCCTGAGACATCGTTGATACCACGTGGCAACAGGCCGTAGCCTTCCTTCAGATCAATATCTAAGGAAGGGTTGGGTGCATGTGCGTGTCTGTCCGTTCACGCCGCTGGCGTGCGATTCGCGGTTCCTAAAGGCTTGTCGGCGCCCCCAGGCCGCGGTCGCTACGGCTCCGTACGCAAAGGCCTGCTGTACGGCGAGGACGTGGCCGTCAAGATCTTCCCGGCCTGGTACCGGCACTACTTCATGTCGGAGCGCGACATCTACTCGCTGCCCTGGATGGACCACCCGAGCCTGGCGCACCTGTACGGCGCCGACGAGCGCGTGACCGAGGCGGGCACCGAGTACCTGCTGGTGCTGTCGCACGTGCCGCAGGGCACCGTGCACGACTTTCTCTGCCAGAACACGCTGCAGTTCCAGCAGATGTGCCGCATGGCCATGACGGCCGTCAGCGGGCTGGCGCACCTGCACACGCCCATCGAGCGCAGAGGTGAGACTGGGGCCTCTTGTGGCGCCTCACCAGCACACGCCCATCGAGCGCAGAGGTGAGACTGGGGCCTCTTGTGGCGCCTCACCTGCACACGCCCATCGAGCGCAGAGGTGAGACTGGGGCCTCTTGTGGCGCCTCACCTGCACACGCCCATCGAGCGCAGAGGTGAGACTGGGGCCTCTTGTGGCGCCTCACCTGCACACGCCCATCGAGCGCAGAGGTGAGACTGGGGCCTCTTGTGGCGCCTCACCTGCACACGCCCATCGAGCGCAGAGGTGAGACTGGGGCCTCTTGTGGCGCCTCACCTGCACACGCCCATCGAGCGCAGAGGTGAGACTGGGGCCTCTTGTGGCGCCTTCACCTGCACACGCCCATCGAGCGCAGAGGTGAGACTGGGGCCTCTTGTGTCACCTCACCTGCACACGCCCATCGAGCGCAGAGGTGAGACTGGGGTCTCGTACAGCGCACTCACCTGCACACGCCCATCGAGCGCAGAGGTGAGACTGGGGCCTCTTGTGGCGCCTCACCTGCACACGCCCATCGAGCGCAGAGGTGAGACTGGGGCCTCTTGTGTCGCCTCACCTGCACACGCCCATCGAGCGCAGAGGTGAGACTGGGGCCTCTTGTGGCGCCTCACCTGCACACGCCCATCGAGCGCAGAGGTGAGACTGGGGCCTCTTGTGTCGCCTCACCTGCACACGCCCATCGAGCGCAGAGGTGAGACTGGGGCCTCTTGTGTCACCTCACCTGCACACGCCCATCGAGCGCAGAGGTGAGACTGGGGCCTCTTGTGTCGCCTCACCTGCACACGCCCATCGAGCGCAGAGGTGAGACTGGGGTCTCGTACAGCGCACTCACCTGCACACGCCCATCGAGCGCAGAGGTGAGACTGGGGCCTCTTGTGTCGCCTCACCTGCACACGCCCATCGAGCGCAGAGGTGAGACTGGGGTCTCGTACAGCGCACTCACCTGCACACGCCCATCGAGCGCAGAGGTGAGACTGGGGCCTCTTGTGTCGCCTCACCTGCACACGCCCATCGAGCGCAGAGGTGAGACTGGGGTCTCGTACAGCGCACTCACCTGCACACGCCCATCGAGCGCAGAGGTGAGACTGGGGCCTCTTGTGTCGCCTCACCTGCACACGCCCATCGAGCGCAGAGGTGAGACTGGGGCCTCGTACAGCGCGCTCACCTGCACACGCCCATCGAGCGCAGAGGTGAGACTGGGGCCTCTTGTGGCGCCTCACCTGCACACGCCCATCGAGCGCAGAGGTGAGACTGGGGCCTCGTACAGCGCGCTCACCTGCACACGCCCATCGAGCGCAGAGGTGAGACTGGGGTCTCGTACAGCGCGCTCACCTGCACACGCCCATCGAGCGCAGAGGTGAGACTGGGGTCTCGTACAGCGCGCTCACCTGCACACGCCCATCGAGCGCAGAGGTGAGACTGGGGTCTCGTACAGCGCGCTCACCTGCACACGCCACCGAGCGCGGGTGTGAGACTGGGGCCTCTTGTGTCGCCTCACCTGCACACGCCCATCAAGCGCGGGTGTGAGGCTGGGGCCTCTCACAGCGCGCTCACCTGCACGTACGCATCGAGGGGAGAGGTGAGACTGACTCGGCATCGGAGCGCCGAGGTGATCACTTCTAGGTGCCAATCGAAGACAGGAGATAACTGTCACCAGGCACGCTCGCCAGCGCGCTGTGCGCATGCGCATATGGTACAGATATCTCCCCCCCCCTACACACACACCCATAGGGGTCAGGGATGAGCGTTCTCGCCTTCGCACTTCCCAGCACCGTAACAATGCGTCTTTGCCGTGTTGTTGTGTTGCTTGCCACCTGGCTCGGTGTACTGTTATTTTCTTGTCAGCACTATTACGGCGCACGTCACCCATGGGGTCATTGGCGGCGCATTGACCTGAGTGACTAAGACATTGATGACAGTCTGCTGACATAGTTCTGATTATAGTTGCGTTGACATAGGTTCTTAACAATAAGACATGGGCGCAACTAATACAGTTGACGCGCCCTTTAAACTCAGTAACTGACTTACTAACCCCGACGGATCGTGAACTGTTTTCTTGTGCTGTGACGGAGCAGGTGCAACACCTGAGCTTCTGTCGCTGCTGTGGCTGTGTAACTGCTGTTCCTTTCCTGTGCCGTGGCCGTGTATTTGATGACCGGCTGCCGCATCTCAGCGTGACCGGCGTTTGTCGTATCGCTGTGGTCTGCCAGCAGCGGATGCCGACGTGTCTGTGACTGAGCGCGGTGCCGCGCCCGTGACCCGTGTGACGGAGCGGTCGCCGCCGCCGCCGCAGGCCTCGTCAAGCCGGCCGTGGCGCACAGGGACGTCAACAGTCGCAACATCCTGGTGCGAGCCGACGGCTCCTGCTGCATCTGCGACCTCGGCTTCGCCATGAAGATCAGCGACGGACGGTGCTTCACCAACGGCGAGGAGCAGAACGCCGAAACTACCTCGCTGACAGACGTGAGTGCTGACCCCGGCTGACAGACGTGAGTACTGACCTCGGCTGACAGACGTGAGAACTGACCCCGGCTGACAGACGTGAGAACTGACCCCGGCTGACAGACGTGAGTACTGACACCGGCTGACAGACGTGAGTACCGACGCCGGCTGACAGACGTGAGCACTGACCTCGGCCGACAGACGTGAGTACTGACCCCGGCTGGCGACGTGAGTACTGGCTCCGGCTGGGAGATGCTCCGGCTGACAGACGTGACTTCTGGCTCCGGCTGGCAGAGGCTCCGGCTGGCAGACGTGAGCTCTGACCCCGGCTGACAGACATGAGTACTGACCTCCCCTTCCCCCCCCCCCCCCCCCCCCCCCGGTTGACTCACGTAGGGCCGTTAGGACCATGTGTCCATGATATGTATCCATGTTGCTATGTGGTTTGTGTTCCGTGATCACACTCTGCGTGTCGCCGGACGCAGTTATCAGCCGTGTCCTTGTCGAGACCTCTGTGTTCCTCGGTGTCAGTCGTACCCACGCTGACATACCGTCTGCGCCCTTTCTCCAGGTGGGCACGCTGCGGTACATGGCGCCCGAAGTGCTGGAGGGGGCGCTGAACCTGCGCGATTGCGAGACCTCGCTCAAGCAGGTGGACATGTACGCCATGGCGCTGGTGCTCTGGGAGATGGCTACGCGCTGCGCCGACCTCTACCAGGGCCTGGACGTACCGCAGTACCGGCTGCCGTTCGAGGCCGAGATCGGTGAGTGGCGCGGGGGCGCGGCTCCGCGGCTCCACAGCGGCCGAGTGGTGCGGTGCAAACGTGTCAGGGGTGAGGTGCAGACCGGTCGGTTCGTGGCTCGGTACAGCAACCAGGGAGCTAGAATCGCTTTTGAACTAGGGTGGGAGTGAAAAATTCCGTCCCAAAAAGACCGCGCAGGAGTGAACAAATCAGTTCACAAAAGATGAAACTTATGATCTCGTGACTGGTGCTTCAGCAAACAAAGACATCTGTTTCAAGTTGGCATGGACATAATATCAGAAACCTGACAAAACTGTTTTGTTTTTTAACATCTTAGGCCATTACGGTGAAACAGAATACATTAAAGCATCGTAAATTTATGACAGTGTGATGAGCATAAAAATTATTAACACCAATAATTTGATGCCGCACTTTGTTCTTACCTTCCACAGCACTTTTAACACGAAACAAAGCAAAGGAATTCAATAACAAAATAACAGCAGAAGATTCAGCAACCATAAAACACCCAAACAAAAAAACCTTGGACTCCTGCACATCAGCCCATCACCAAGGCAAACATAATAGACATACGTCTGGCTTCTGTTAGGATGGGGTCAGGGAAAACAAACATTTTGTCACTGTTTCTTGCAAAACACCAATGTTTATTTCCATGAAAGTAGCCTAACTATGCCTAACCTAAAGAGGCCTTACTTCATCTCATCCTGTCTAACCTGTTTGTGTCACAGCAGCAGTTGTGAGTTACTGATTCTTGCACAATTCCTATTGCCACTTGCCATGCACTTAACCAACTTAATGTAACTTAGAGTAGCCCATATATTGAACATCATCTCAACTCACCTATCCGTTGACAGCAGCACTTGTAATACAAACATGATAAAGCAAATTTTTGGCTGATTTCAACATGCATTTTTATTCAGTTCATTTGTGTATGCTTGTTGACATCAGGAAACGTTAACCTATGTCAAGGGCAGTAATGGGTATGTTCCACAAAACAATCTCTCTTCTCGAAAAGTAACATAACTTTTAGATGACCATGCCAGTATTGCTGCTTGCCTTTTCAGCTGCAGCAGACATCTATTTAGGCTTGTTCATTCATATTTAATGACAAAGTTTGAGATGTTGGCTGCACATTTTAAATGGGTTGGTCTGACTATTTGTTACATATTAATATTTAGCTCATATTATAATTACCATGCAGCTTAGAGTATCCCTGTGTTAAAAAGATAGTGCCTTTATACAATACACTCATTTGCCAGTCAGCAAACCATGACAACTTTAGAAAACATCTGGTTAAAGGAGCCACGAGGGTGCACTTTAAGACATTTGGGGCAAACAATAAAGAATATGGAACAAAATAAGCCATTTGCATGCCTTGTGACATCATAATTTGTCTTATGACAAAACTGGATGGATTAAAACAGAAAATGGATAACTCTGGCTACTAATCATGTGTTGAAAGCATGTAAGGTAAGCAATTACTTGGTCCACAGGAGACTTATTGGCTTCTTCCTGCTCCCCCAAAACAAAAAAGTCAGTACCTTTTGCATGGTCTGCTGGCAGACAGAGTCATCCCACTCACCCTCAATATCAATCATACCCACCAACCTACAAGATTAAAATGCGAAACAAGTAAGAGGTGTGCTTGGTAAACATCTCCAGAGGGCAGAATTTCGCCATCAAACACCTCGGTATTAGCTGCGTCAGGTCTGTCCCAAAGCTCTGTATAGCAGCATTTGGATAGCCTTGTCAGGCAGCCTGGCGAGTTGGACACCCGAAAGGCTTAGATTTATCATTATTGAGCACCGCCATGAACCAAGAAAACTGTTAACCAAGGGTTTAACGGGGCAAAAATGTCGTTAAAAGTAAGTTCCGTGCTTCAAATTTTCTCCTTCATTCCCTGTGAATCGTTCACTCTTGGGTGCGTATCAAACATGTTTGGGCGGCTGGCGAATTAATCCAATTTATGTATGAAATACGTACGAGTTTGAAGTTGGAGCATCTTGCAGAGAAATTGGTCAACATTTTAAGCAACAGATGGTACCTATAAAGGCAATGAAAAAGGAAGGAAGAATAAAGTGGTGTCACACTCGTATAGTGCCAAGAACAACAAAAGTAGCTGAATAAATATAAAAACTGATACTTTTCTGGAAAAATTTTGTTATCAGGTGATTTGACTTAAAACCTGTTAACATAAGTGCTCAAATGGTGATATTCGTCTTGTAAATTTAATTTAGAAGACATTTCTTAAACTTTTCACTCCCGCATTTCGAGAGTGGTGCAATTTAGTGATCAAGTTTCCTCGCGAAAAAAGAAGTACGTGGAGTAAAATTCTCTACCAGGCCTTGCTAGTGTTTGCACCAGGCTCCGCTTTCGTGGTGTGGTGGTGAGACTAAAAAAACAGGGGATGCATGAAAACCTTGCATTTGGCACACAGCTGCCGATTGTGATACATTTTGTAAACAAACCAAACTTAATGCGTGCAAGCGGCTGGAGTCGCTGGGGTTCCTGGGCTTGAAGGTACCTGGCGCCTGTGCTCTGTACATACATAGACATGATTCAGATGTAGGTGAGGTAAGGCATAGCCAGAGGTGTCCAGGTTCTGTGGAGCCTCGTTTATGCTTGGTGATATCAAGTGAGCTCGGTGTTGGATAACATCTGAAAACCTCAGAAAGGGAAATAGGGGTTTGGTATGTGCGATTAGACAGTGTCAGGCAGGAGTGAAAATTCACATAAAACATGGGGAAAAGGAGTTAAAAATTTCTCCTCATAGGGTGTTGCTTTACACCCAAAGTCGGCAAGTCTAGGACACTGCTCGTGCCCGTCTCGTCTACCTGCTGACGGCTTGAGTGCATCACAAGCCAGCAAACGGCTACGTATCGGTCATGCCAACGTACAATCGCTCGTGTCATCTGACAAGACCGACAGCGTGCTAGACCGGCGACCTAGCCCGGCATGTGATCCTCCAGTGGGTACTTGGGCACGCGGCATGGGGAGGCAGGGCAGGGCCGACCAGTCTGCCGGCGGGACAGCGACAGAGGGCGAGCACGGAGATGTGCTGCCGGACCTGGTCAGCGGCGGCGCAACGCTGAAAACGGTTGTCATAGGTTGATCCGTCTCGCGAGCGGCGACCTATCCTCGCCCGTCAGCCTGCCCGGGCCCCGGCATTTGCACCCAGACGCTCCGGTGCCGGCTGTTAGCGGATCTACAAGGACGGGCTGACGGACGACCTGCACGGCAGTGATTTGGCGGGGGCCCCCGACGGCTCCACACTGGGGCCAGCCAGACATGTCGCAACACCCCACCGGGCGTCCCACCTGCACTGAGCAGGACCAGCGGCTGTCGGCTGCACCTAATCAGTGGTGTAGTGCACACCGGCGTACATCTGAAGGTGTTCACGGGTCCGACGGCCGACTGGCAATTGGGGTGACATCAGGCGGCTCCACAAATGACGGCGGTGACGTCACATATGACGGCTCCACGAATGGCGGCGATGGTGTCAAGTCTGGCGGTCCGCGCTGGGTGGCAATGACGTCACATGTGACTGCAGTGTGGCAGGGGCCAAAGCGAAAGCACAGTTTGAGCGAAAACTACCGGATGCCTTTGACCACTGAGGATTTGCCTGAACATCGGGTGGCGTCAATTTGTACGAGGTTTTCGGAGTTATACTCCTGATATTCTTTATTATCATGCTAGCTTAACATGATATTCGAAAATCAGAGTGACAAATTTGCGATCTCGTGATCTTCTGAGGGTTTGTCGCAAAGGTTTGTTAGGGAAAATGGTCGTCGCATATGGTTATGTTCAGAGCTCTTGGCATCTTCAACCAGCGGCCTCTGATTTAATATAACCAACATCCAATAAATCGTGACAACAGTATAAAGTTGAGGATAGCTGGCACGTCCCGAAGTTCTGGCATTCTATTCGTGCGTATCACACCAGGCTTCCTACAACGAAAATCTATCCCAGAACTTCACCGCACGAAAATGTACAGCAGAGTATCGCCCTCAAGTGCACGGCGTTATTCTACGCTTAAGCGTCGTAATGCGCACTTCTTCAGAATCTGCGGACATAATGGATAGGTAGCGCGGTTTGCGAACAATTGTGTGTGACGGCAAATTCAGATGCAGCTTGTGTGACCCCGACGATGTATTCTCATGTTGGGTGGATTATGCAACTATGCGTAAATGGCCTGAATTTAGACTGGGTTACATAATCATGTGTTAAAACATGTCTCGTGTTGATATGCCGTATTAGCTAGAGTCATGCATAACAAATCAGGATAACAAAGATCGCGATAGACTATTAAGTACCAAGAAGATGCCAGAACATTTGCATGTTTTGCTTTCACTTCGTCTTAAAAAAGCAACAAGACAAACAAGAGCACCAGCGGGACGGAAAGAGCGAAGCAAACGGGGACAGCGTCTGACAGCAATTTCTCAACGTGAGCTCTTGTCACGCTTCATTTGGCCGGAAACGCGTCTCAGCGAAATCCCCGCTTAACAATCCTGGACCGTTTCATTCTTATTCCCGAACTACGTTATGCCCGAATCATATGCATATTCTGGTATGTCCTGTTTGGCATATCTTTTAGAGTTAACGGAGCATGTTATCAGTCAGATAGATGAAGGCAGTAGTTTAGGTGTTGTGGATCTAGATTTTAGTAAAGCGGTTGATAAGGTGCCACACCAACGTCTCCTATATCAATTAAAATTGCATGGTATTAAGGGAAAATTATTGGCCGGCTAAGGGTTTGGATGTTGTAAGGAAACGAAGGGTACAAAAACGGTACAAAATATCACTGGGCGCTAGTAGAGAGTCGGGTTACACAGAGGTGGGCATTGGGCTCTTTGCTCTTTACTACTTTTGTGAATGGCGCTAAGATAGGATTAGTGAGTAAGGTGCTAATATTTGCTGGCGATATTGAATTGATAGGACTGTCGAAAAATAAGATTAGGTGAAACGAATTCAACTTGACTTAAATAAGCTCGTATCTGAGCTTCTCTGTGCCAGATATCATTCAATTGTGATGCGTATAAGGTGATTTATTTATGTAATTTTAGCAGTGAGGATATTAGCTATGAAATGGGAGGCCAAGAGTTAGACCAGATCGAGGAAGAGAGGGCTTAAGGGTTATAATTTCGGGGATCTAAAGGGTGAAAAACAGTGTGGGGTTGCTGGGAGTAAGGCACTTCGGATGCTGGGACTTATTAACAGGAATGTCCATTACAAGAGTAGGAATATTGTCAAAAGGTTGTACTTGTTTATGTCAAACCGCGGCAAGAGTTTTGTACACAGGCTTGGTCCCATGCTTCCAAAAAGATGTAGATCGACTCGAAAGAGTGCAGCAAAAAACAACCAGGATTATAAATGGGATTGGCGACTGAGAACATAAGAATAGGCTTAGCGCCTTGGATTTGTATTCACTGAAATATGGTATACTTGGGGGGGGGGGGCGGGGCGGATAGAGGCATGCAGTATTATGAAAGCGATAGACACGGTAGATCTACATGGAGGCCTGGAAATTAGGCCGAAACATAGAGGAAACCAGTTTCATTTAGCAAACGTGGGAGAAGAACTATGAAGAGGCAGATGCCATTTAGTCAAGAAGAAGTAAACCATTGGAATGGGTTGATAAACGGAGTTTTAGAAAGCCCCTCTCTAGCGACATTCAAAAACGGTTTGGACAAATTCTATCGGTCTAAGGATCTCATTTATAGCGAAGTTCATGCAGGGCAGGTGGTAGGATTAGTTTCGAGGATGTGTACAGAACCTGAGATAGGCCAACCTCGATGGGTCTTTGTGGCTCTTTGTTGGCCAGATCTCTTAATGTCTTTATGTCTTCGTGTTTGACCCGTGAAAAGCGAGTCACACTCGTGACCATGAGCACTGGGTTGAAACGAAAACGGGTGTTCTCACATGTTATGATCGCTTGGTATGCGTTCAACCCTTAACTCCTGGTATATTGAAGATCGGTTATTCGCGGCATTTTTCGTTCGTATGCGCGAGTCTATCGCCGCATCATGAGTCATGAGGCATGACAAAATTCAACAAACCAGAACATTGGCAGGATAGGAAGCGCCGAATGTGGGCTGACGGCGTTTTGACAGTGGACAAAACAAAACACTGAGTCTAGCGAAAAGAATCAATGCGAGTTTGTATGATGTTATCGCAAGCGGTGTATGGTATCGCCACAAACTGCCAGGAACAGAATACCAAAACACGCGACGCATATGATTTGCGCGGACAATGATTGATGGCGCGGCCGACGTCGGAAGAAGCCGGAGAGTTGCCGACTCACGCCTCGTCTCCGGCCCATGCGTCGGTTTTGTCGTCGTTCTCCGGTCACGCCGCCCGTGGCCCTGCCCAGTATTGATGATCGCCGCTTAGCAGACTGACGCCGGCCGCCGCAGACAATGCTCGGCCATGACCTCATTTGCATACCCCGCGCCGATCGCGCGCCTGGCGCTTTAATGTCACGCTTCGCCTTGGTTCTTGTTGCGGCGGACAGGGAGGGACGAGTGTTCAGCCTTGGCTGCCGTCCTGTTCCTGGGCGTCCGCCGCTGGCGGTGGCACAGATCTCGCCGATTCCGCCACGGGTCGTCCGTCGCAGCCGTTTGTGGCGTCGGCCGCGCCGCATTGTTCATGACGGAAACGTGGCCACGGCTTGCAGCCGGCCGACTGGTCCCGCATTTGGGACCGAGTGTCGTAACCGCGGGAGATGGACGCGTTGCTATGGAAGCTGATCACCTGCTCCCGACCTGTTTGTCCCAGCTGTCCGTGTTCCCGCGTCCACAGCTCTGCCGTCTGATTGCTTCTGACCCCGCGTCGGCAGCTGTCATACACACGGGCGCGACTGGATTTCGGCCACCTCGACTCCTCTTGCATAATGAGTGTTCTCGCTCGAACAGCCGTGCTGAGGCTCACAGCCGCTCTCCGTGTGCCGGCAGGCTCGCACCCGTCGTTCGACCAGATGCAGGTACTGGTGGCGCGCAACCGCGCCCGCCCGCTCTTCCCCGACGTCTGGAAGGAGACGAACCCGGCGCTGCGCCAGCTGCGCGAGACCATCGAGGACAGCTGGGACCAGGACGGCGAGGCGCGCCTGACTGCGCTCTGCATGCTCGAGCGCATCACCGAGCTGCCGCTGCTCTGGGAGCGCTACAAGGGTGAGACGGCCGCGCAGACCATCTCGGATGTAGGGGCGAGGCGGGCGTGAAGGCTTTGTACTTCTACGGTAGAGAAACGACGCCACGGCAGGAAACGCCGCGTGCTGAGTGAGCTTCGGTTACGGCTTGTGATCTAGCGTCGCTTGATTGTCTTGTTTGCGCTGACTGCAGAAAAAGGGTCCGTTTTATAGGCTCTAGACCGCACCAGCATATGCGGTGCCGCTGTAAGTATCCTTTGCTGTTCAATGTGCATGATCACGTCAAACCGTGTGCAGGTGCATGATCGTGTGCTCCTTTGTCGCCGGAAATAACACTTGCTTTTCGAATTGCGCTTCAGGGAGCGTGCATTCAGCTGTCATATCTCGTTTGTTCTCTCTTCACAAAGGTGCTGTTGTACTGTTCGGGTTAGCGGAGTGTAAGCCTGATAGTGCTGACGGAGATGTTCATCATTAGCCGCGTCCAGGATTCCCCGTTGTATAACATCCTGAGAGCTTCCACGTCTGTTACCATGTTAATAACGCACAGTATTGTACTCACGTATTATATTATGACGCGCGTATATTGCTGATACATGTATATAGGTAATATATAAAGCTATATATATATATATATATATATATATATATATATATATAGCTATATATAGATGTATATGTATATGTATATATACATATACATATACATATATATATATAGCTATATATAGATGTATATGTATATGTATATATATATATATATATATATATATATATATAAAAAGCCTTAATAAACTGTGGGGTGCTCGCGCCATGCATGAATAGGTATGGCCTGTGAGATCCGGCCAGTGATCCTCGGCCGCTGACGTGAATGTGCCCCGGGACAGGTAACCTGGGCATGACAAACCCGCTGCCGACGCTGAACCTGGTGAGCCAGCAGCCGGAGCCGGACAAGGTCAAGTCGGATGTGAACGTGACGAACGCGGACGCGCACGACACCGACCTGTCGGAGGCCACGGCCGAGACGCTGCTCACCCTGTCGCCGGATCAGGAGATGAACCGTACGTCGCCGTGCGCGCGGCTGGCCCGGGGCCGTGCCCGCAGCTGGGGTGGGCATAACGTTGCCGGGGCTGGGGGGGGGGGGGGGGGGGGGAGGCGGAGGCGGAGGCGGAGGCGGAGGCGGAGGCGGAGGCGGAGGCGGAGGCGGGTGGGTGGGAGACAGTGTGTGTTGCGGGCCGGACTATTCTGGAACTGTATACAAAGCACAGCTGATGAGCCGAGGCGGTTGCTAACACAGTGTTCAGCCTTGATGTTCAGTGTTCGAGTGGGTTTTTTTTTGGGGGGGGGGGATTCACTAACAGTGAATGAGGGTGACATGTACCGGCATGCCTGGAGTCGTTTGACGCGATGCGGGGATGCAACGCAGGCCGTTTGTCGCACTAAGATTGGAGTTTTGACGCGGGTGGTGCTGTAGCGCTGCTGAAGTCGGCCCGCTCCAGGGGCTGGGTTGTGTCGGTGCGAGCTGAGTGGTGTGATGGCAGGGTGTCCACCTCACCCCGTCTGACCCGGTGCACGCCCGCCGCCAGTGCGCAACTCTCAGCTGTCCGGGCCGCAGTACGCCTCTCAGATCCAGCCGCACCAGGGCCGCAACCCGTGCATCGAGCGCAACCTGGCCAGCGCAGAGTCCTCCGACTACCTGGTGGACGGCAACACGCTGGTGGAGCGGACGGCGCGGCCGCAGCACGGGCTCACGCCGGCGCCAAACGGCGTCGTGCCTGCCGAGTGGCAGGCGCTGCTGCCGCCGGCCGAGCCGGCCGGCGCGCCGGCGCCTGCGCTCCGTGCCGCGCCCATCCCCATCGTGCAGAACGCGGTGCGCGGCGGCGGCGGCGGCGACGGCGAGCAGGACGGCGCGGCGGCCGACGGCGGCAGCGGCGCTGGCGCTGGCGGCGGCGGAGGCGGCGGCGGTGGCGGCTGGCTAGGACGGCTGCGCGCGGCGCTGCCCGGCCACCGCCGCCGCGCGCCGTCATCCGTACCGTTGCAGCCCGTGCTGCCCTCCAAGACGGTGAACGTGGACGCGGAGGGCGGCGGCGGCGGCGGCGGTGGTGGTGGTGGTGGCGGCGGCGACTGCAGCGTCGCCGCGCCGGGTCGACCGCACTCGCTGCCGCTGCAGCAGCTGTCCACCTAGGCGCGCCGACGCCAACCGGCCCGCGCCCAACGCCGCCGCCGGCGGTGTTACTCAGAGGGGGCCGACTGGTGGGCCGCGGGCCCACGCCGCTCATCCATGGGCAGCCCGACGTCACAGGAACTGGCGAGCATGTAGCTGGCTCTGGCTCTGAGCTGGAGCCGGACTGTGATAGTGCTGGACTGCTCTCTGTTGAAGACTTGTCCTGGTGGGCTGGCGCAGCCCCGCGCTGACGCCAGCTCCCGCCAGCATGTGGCCGTTTGCCAACCGCCTCACGAGACTGCGCTGTGTTTTGTACATTTTATTTTCTTAGCTACACATCCATTATTAGGGCAGCGCGTGCTCTCCGCGCTGGAGCCTGAACTGAGTGTCGCGGAGCGGCGCGGCGCGGCATCGCTCCCATGTTTTATAGCCGACGCCGTGTTACGCCCCGGTTTGTGTTGGCGGAGCGCTGTGTGAGCGTGTTGCGGCTCTGAGCCATGTCATGTGCTTGCCGGCCGGCTGCAGCCAGGCGCAGCCGGTGCAGCTGATTAGCCGGCCTTGCGACGGGGATTGCCTGCTTCAGACGAACCATCTGCCGTGCTTGCCCTGACCCGCGCGTAGCGTCTTCACGCCAAACTCTAGTGTAAATGTGTATGTTTCATGGGGCTCATGAGGTTCATCCGCGGCAGTAAGGTTCTTTCAGGAAGTGTTATGCAGATGTGGATGCGGTATGACGGCAGGAAACTGACATGAGTGCCATGGGTCGTGTGCAACCGACCTGTGCAAATCTATCTCGATACCAATAGAGGATGTTTGCTTTCCGCACGGACGTGCCAACGCTACTTATTTGTGATAGCGTCATGTCGCAAGAAGTTTACGAACGCAGCGCCCGATTTGTGACCAAGCATGGTTGAAGATGTGCTTTTGGTACATTTGATGCCATTTTTAGCTAGGGGAAAGATGGAAAAGCACTGGAAAATAGGCATCTTCCTGCATGGACTGGGTGGGCGGGCACCACTATCACCCATCCCTAGCCACGGTTGACGGGTATTGGGCCGTTCGCGGCGCTGTATAATTGCTGCAGCCACCGATGTGCGATCTTCTATATGCTCAGCTTGAGGTCATGCCAGCGCCTGAATAGTAACCTGTGTCGGGGCCTGGGCTGACACCCAGCCCGTTGACGTGGCCGGGCGATTCGCCAACCTGACCGGACAGCCCGCTGACCCGCCGGGCAACCCACTGACGTGGCCGGGCGGCCCGCTGACCTGCCGGGCAGCCCGCTGACCTGGCCGGGCAGCCCGCTGACCCGACCGGGCAGCACGCTGACCTGGTCGGGCAACCCGCTGACCTGACCAGGCAGCATGTTGACATGTCCGGGCAACCCGTTGACTTGGCCAGGCCGACCCGCTGACCTGGCCGGGCCGACCATTCCAAAAATTACTGGCCCGTTTTGCATTCGATGTCTTGGGACGATGCCGCCACGTTTGAGACCTCTTCGTAGCTACGACTTGAAAGCATACACATTCATTTAATAACTTGTCCTGGCTCAATGTCTTGGCCCGACGTAAATTTTGAGGTGAATCGCCATTGTTTAATTGCCTTGCGTCAACCATTTTTAGTTTTCATGCAAATTACTGAAGACTCAACACGTTTCATTGCGTGGTCGTAAGCGTGGCGGTGGTGGCGGCCGGTAAGACCAGAAGCAAGTTCCGGACTAATCACAGGTGAGTCGCGGGACAGGCAGTGTAACATGGTGTGGCCTGCTGCGCTGTGCCTCCTAACGAGGCCACCATCCCCTGTTGCCCCGCGTAAGTGATGTTGAATTCAAGGAGAAGGCTTCTATTTTGTGTATGTTGCGACCATCTGCAACAGTGGTCTAGAAATTTGTGGTGTACATCAATGGGTTATAATAGGGCGACGTTCGCATTTCCTGCTGCCAATCTACGGACAGATTCTAGGTCTACTTTAGTGCGGTCTTGGGCGGACAAATGGTGAATTATGCCCCTAGCTTCGCACGGTGATTTTATCGTATTTCTGAGAGCTAGGACTGTTGCAGGACTCCTGGATGGACGCACGACTGACCCGACACTCCGAGACCATCGCACATCGCAGCACATCCATACGCGTCAACTACATGCGCTCGTGCAAAGAAACCCGTTAGCTGTCGAGCGCGACCCGACTCCCGAACGCAATCCTTGCTCCGCAGGTCGGCATCGCGGGTCATGTTCATGGCTCGCCATGCATCAGTCAGCCGCGAGACACGCCGCTGACAGTACGCCGGTGTTCGTCACGCCGGCCGACCTCTAGACCCGGCAGCGATAGATATGTATTTGGGAGCTTCCACAGCGAGGATTTTCTATCTTTCACACCAGTATGTGCAAAAGTCACTGAAGATAAAACAGATGACGCAGATGAACGTGGCCCACTGCACGGCAACGCGTGCTTACCCATCTGACAAATAGGGAATCAAAAATGTCCTAAAGATCGCGTTGCTCGCGGTCGCTGTCGGCCGCACCTCTGCAGGCAACAATTTCACTCGCTCGGTGCGCGAAATAAGGAGCGACGCCAAAACTCATTGCGGACACGTGGCAACTGCAGTAGCTCGACGGCCGTTGCTGGAGTGGCACCGGCGAACGCGTCATAGCGGCGTACTTCACGCTATCGTGGCATCTCCGGCGCGTAGGCAGCTGTGAGGATATTACGCAAGACTAATCAGGTTCAGAGGTAAGTTCGTCGACTTTTGAGGCATCCTAGTTCGCGCAGCGAGGGCGTCACTCGGTCTCGGCACGTGGCATTGCATGCGGTGCGGGTGCCCAAGGTCGAAGCCTTTTGCACCTGTCGTTACTGTGTCACGTTGCAGCCCCCCCCCCCCCACACCATAGTGTCGTGCATGGGAACAATGCCGATCAGTAGCCGTTTAGTTTAGTTGGAAAGACATCAGCGTATCAGCGTAAAGATATTTAGTCATCAGCGTACATAATGATCTTTCCACACATCATATGTAGCGTCAAACCCTTGGTAAAAAAGAGGAAGAGGGCGGACCCCAAAGATTGAACCCTGAACTACTCCGTGTGTCACATCAGGAGCGCTCTACGGGCTCTCGTATCACGACCACCTGACACCAGGCCGTGGATCGTGACTCTCAGCGACCGCACAGAGTGGGGCTAGGGGTAAACGCAATGACATGCTAGAGCAGAAACCACATGAAAACAATGACAACGCTTACGGAGATCGTCGTTACATAACAAATTAGGCAAGGAACCCAACTGATAACATAGCAATAAGCTTACAATAACGAAACAGCTAACGCTCAAAAGTGTAATGGCAACGGGTTATAAATGACACCAAATTTCGCTGGCATCCAAGGGCGACTGGCGGCGGTGGCACGGCATACGGCTCGGCGCGGCCCACACGGCTCGGGCCGGCGGTGGCAGCACCACTGACCTGCGATGTACGAGCGGGTAGCCATCGGTTTACTGCTTTAAATTCGGCTCAGGTACGGCGGCCGAGTGCACATGTTCTATCGAGCCATCTTCGTTGGGTCGTAAAATTTGCATACTGCAGGCCAATTGCATATACTGGCCGAGCGCGACGATCATGGGCCGTTCATTCGACGGCGCCAGTGCCAGCTCCTAATATGCAGCGGCCGAAGTCGCTAGTGGTTTCGAACAGGTCAAGACGGGCAGTCGGCAGGTGCGCGCTGCCTGAGGCGCAGCTACTCCTGCGTGGTAACTGGGCCTTGACCCACGGCAGCGTACATGCCCAGCTTCACGGCAGGACTCCGCGAAAAGCGGTCTTGTAAATGCAGCTTCTGGGCACCTGCGAGGGGCCAAACAGCTGGAAAACGGCGGCGTCAGCCGTGAACAGAGTTCCTGAACTGATCTAACACCCACCAGTATAACCGGATCAAAATCCTTAAGACGGAAGTCATGGCATAAGACACTGACATTAATGCCATGCGCAAACAAATTGAAACGCTCACCATGTCCAACAAGCAGTTGAATGATGAAATTGAAGGCATCGACAATAAGCGTCTCATAAACACACTTATGATGATATGCGCCGGCCTTGGCAAAGTGGAGCAAGGCGAGAACATCCAGGACATGACTCTCGAAGTGCTGAACCTCAGGTCTTCGGACTTGCACATCTCCAGCTCAGACATCCATACTGTACACCGCCTTCCAGGCGACATTACAGTGGTGGGCAAATTTCTGAGATCAGAAATTCGCAATGCGAGCATTTCAACTGATCTGAGATCAGAAATTATACAGCAAACGATTCAAACGAGCAAACTTTCAAACCACAGCCGCAACACAGACCCGCTAAACTTGAATCACGTCTGACTCTCCCCAGATTGGATCTTTATCGGGAACTGTTTGCTGCAAAACACTCCAAGCGTATGAACACAGTTCTCACACGGCGGGGCACCGTCTTTTGCAAGATCGAGGAAACGTCAAAGGGGTTGACGACAACGTCATATTGCAAGATGTCCTAGCGAGGTGCCCCCATTTCTCAAAACCACCGTCATCAGCAGCTCCGGCGGCCACCTGGCCGGACGCCCCGTGCCGCTCGGGGAGCGCAGCCCGCCTGCGGCTGCCGCCGGCGGCCGGCGGTCGGTGCCTTGGGCCTCGCCGGTACCAGGCTGACCGGTGCGGACGGGGCGCGGCCGGCCGCTTGGCGGTCGGTGTCGGGACGCCGCCCACTGGACGTGCCGATCAGCTGGCGCGGGCCGCGCCCGGCCACTCTGCTGGGGCGCCGGTGTCGGATTAAAGCATCTCTTTCGGCGGGTGAGCATCTGCAGCGACAGCCCGATACTTCGGGGGTCCAGTCGTCGGCGCTCTCTGATGTTTCCGGGGTAGCCGCTGCACTGGATCGACCGGTGGATGTACAGCTGGGGGCTGTGTCGCAGGTCGGTGAGAAGACTCGCTTGCCGGACTTACTCATCGTGACGACGCTCATACAGGTACACACCAGTAAAGGTGTGGTAAGAAGTTAAGTTTGAAGAAGCGACTGTGACAGAC